CTAAGGTGGATCCTCGCTTCTCCTTTTCTTATGGATCTTCAAAATCTTTTTCTTTTTTCTCAATATTTTTATTTCTTTCTTTTGTTGCCGTTATGTTCGTTTCGTCTATGTTACTCTCTTTCTTTTATGTAGCTTTCGGTTTTGTTGACCTGTCTCCTAATTTGTTAATTAATTGACCATTTATTATTATTTTGATTGCAGCTTGAATGAAACGTTATGGTTTTCTCATTCACCAAAAAATAGATTAAATTTATTAGATTATCATGACAATAACTTATAGCAAATCTAACTCAGACTAGTAATTTCACACTAACACATATTCTTCTTTAAAACAGTTTTCCATTAAATTCTAGACTAAAATATATATATATTTTCAGATCATAGCATTGAGTTATTGACAGATGAAGTTCATCGTTGATCGTTCAAAGGAGAAAGCAACAAACCGAATACGCAAGCATGGGTCAATGATCAGCTGATTCAAATATTAATATTGGTGATACTTGTTACTTGTTAGTAGTCGAGTAGATATCTTTTAGAGTTGTTTTCTTCAATTGTTTTATAGAACTCGTTTTATCCTTTCTCTCAAGATTACGTATGAGGGAATAAAGAGAGTATATTTCATACATACATAGAAGAATATTGGGATGGAGTTTTGCTACACACATTCTTCAATAAATTATACCAAAACTTGGTTTTTCATGGAAGACCAAAGAATTATTTTGCGACACCAAAATCAGTGGTTTAAGTCAACACATTGCATAGAAATGCAACAAATAAGTAAAATTTTGCAAATTCCTATACGAGATCGAATGTCAGTAGCCCGTCTGCCGCAGAAGATATCGTTTGTAATATTAGATCCTAACCAAATTGAGTTTGATTTTGCATATAACCAAAGTTGTCTTTTGTCAGTTACTTAACTACGTATCGTGTCTATTTCATGTCATGCTAACTTATCACCAAAACAATAACAAAAACGTCGCTAAAATTCGCTTCAGCTAGACATATTTGTTGAGAAAGAATCGATTCCAAATTACTTAACCCAAAAAGCACTATCCAAACAAAATCTTTGCTTAGCCCATTTAAACGAGAAGCTGAGAAAGAGTGAAATTAAACGAGATAGATTTGGGCCTGTATCAGATATAAATATATTAAGTTTCAATTGGATCAATATATTGAGCCCATTAAATTATTTTTTTAGCAAATAGGCCCAATTAATTAGTATGTATGTTAGGGTTTTGTCTTTTGTCGCTGCATATATAAATTTCCTTTTTTCCAAAGATCGTCGTTTTGCAGCGGCTGCTTCTCCATTGCAGGTATGTAAAATCTGATCAAACTCTCTCTTCTTCGCTACATTGTTTTAGATTTCAAAATCGATTTCTTAACTTAGTATCTGTGAATCGTTTGAGTTATTGCAGGTAAAAAAATGACAACTCCAGCGGTGAAGACCGGTTTGTTCGTTGGATTGAACAAAGGCCACGTCGTCACCAGACGCGAGCTAGCTCCTCGTCCCAATTCTCGTAAAGGGGTATCACTCTTTTTCCCCTCTGATTACCAAGTTTATTGCTTTATAAGATTACGCTTTTGTTGGTCTATGTTTTGAGCTTGATTTATTGTATTTAAGGAGATAAACTTAGAAATGTGCATATCAATTACTGAAATATTGACATTTTAGTTAGTATTGTTTATGATGTTGATACATTACTTTAATTGGAAATGTTGAGTTTTGAGCTGAAAAATGGTCGGATTCATTTCTTAAAGAGTTTTGTTTTGACATTTTTGTTTAGAAAACGAGCAAGAGGACCATATTCATCAGAAACGTGATCAAGGAAGTAGCTGGATTGGCTCCTTATGAGAAGAGAATCACTGAGCTTCTCAAGGTTGGGAAAGACAAGCGTGCTCTTAAGGTTGCTAAGAGGAAGTTGGGTACTCACAAGAGAGCTAAAAGGAAGAGAGAGGAGATGTCTGGTGTTCTCCGCAAGATAAGGTATTTTTTTGTTGTCATTCGTTTTTAGCTTCACATGAGTTTCAATTTGCATACATATTCTTTTCAAAAACATTTCATATCTTGACTACTTGCAGGTCTGGTGGTGGTGGTGCTGCTGAGAAGAAGAAGTAAACATCTTATTAGGCTTGTGTGTTATGGGATATTTGTTTCTTTTGGAACTCAAATTTTGGCTTCTGTATGCCCAACAAGCTTCTATGTGTTGTGTTTGGTTAGGGATGTGGATTAATCTTGTTTTGACGAAGCTTAAACTCATTACTTTTTTGCCAATGCTTTGTTCGTTTAGAAAATACCCATTATAAAAGCAGGCCCAATAGCAACAAGCTATCGAAATATCTTCACTTTTGGGCCTCTAATAAATTTGCCACAACGGATGAAGTAAACAAATACCACATTTAACTATGCGCACAAAGTTGTCTCCAACGTTTCTCAACTGCTTGTGGAGGATGTTAGTTGTACATTATGCATGCACGGTTATATAAATACAGATGTACGTACGCTTGTGTACTTTTCATAAAGTGTATGGCTAATAAGGAATCTTTGGTTTAAAAATGAAGAACGTGTGTGGTTGATGACAACGTGAGGAAGAAACGTGACAAGGCAATACTATTAAGAGATTATAATCCCTTCACCACTTTATCCACATGTATGATCCTTATATTTACATCGATCAATTTCCAACATCTAAAAGATGATAGAGACTATATACAGCTCCTTTTGTATATCTTCACATACATATCTAAGTGTATTTCGATTATACGTGATTACAACTTGGATTGATGCGAAACTTTTAGAGAATCGATTATGCTTTCAAACTAATACCAAATAATATGATTACAATTTGGCTAAATGTGAATATGTAACTAATCCAATTCAATTTAAAAAATTTTGGTTTCTAAAGATTAAAAGGTCTATAATTTTTTTGTTGCGTATACAAAAAGAAAAGTCTATGTTCCAATTTAAACCATAGAATATCTATTGGAAACTTGTGGCATTTGCATATTACAGATGTTCTTGTCCAAGCCGCCATAATATCCTTATCTACAACACCAAAATAAATAACTCCACTACAAACCGCAGCTACATGTAATTATGGAATCTCAAATTTCAATATTATGATCTCTATGGGTACCATTTACACCCCTTAATATTAGCAAGTTTAGTTCGGAAAAAAGTTTAGTCTAATTAACCTTTGGTCTGAAAATATATATTTTTGTTGTTTAAGAAAAAGCTAGTCAATTCTAGTGAATGATTTTTACTACAGGCCAAACTACGGTTAACCACAAACAAAGAACTGTAATTGTTTGTGAATGCAACTATATTTTTTCTGTAAACATCATAAAAACATTGATTGTTAATAACATTTCTAAGTATATGATGTTTTAATCGGAGATTTAGGAACTTCTAGTTCTAGACACCAATTTATCATCGCTGTTTTCTTCCTTTAATTTCTGTTTATTAAAATTATACTTGCATCAGTGGGTTGTCTAGACCAGCGCAGCAGCGCTGACCGATTAGTTTATTACTTTGGCCAAAATCGACGGGACAGTGTATTGTACCCTAGCTAGATGGGAAGACCCTTCGGGATCTAGTGCAAATTAGCAAGTGTTAAGATTGAATAACAGTTAAGCGAGAGCGTGATTAGAAAACCTGTACGTTAACCATCAAGAAATTTTAAACATATGCTTATAAAATGTGTCCCTTATTAGTTATTACCATCTAGAAATTTCGACAAATGTGCTTAATATGTGATTGTATAAGTGAAAAAAAGAAATATGAAATTATATGTTTCTTTATTTATAGTCCTAGCTAGGGAAGTAAGTGAAAACACATGCTGCTGTAAAAGTGAAAGCTGCTGTCCAAGTAGTACACAAATATGCTGGTCGTCGTCTATATATGCTTAGACCTTCGCATAATTTCATACAAGGATGAGCCTCCATATAATACAATATATTTATGCACAGAAATACATACACGATCAGGGGACAAGATTTAACTTGGATTTCTGAGCCTACTATGCTTATGTTGGGTCTCATATACAGAAGCCTATCTTGATTTATGCCTATAGCTGTTATCACTTCAAATCATTAATTGGCGAGTAGAGATAAAACGTTTTTAGGATAGCTAATGTTTTGATTTAGAAGTAAATATAAGAAAAAAGGATTTGAGATTACGAAAGGCCGGTAAAATATCTCAAGGTACATGAACCAAAACAGTCTCGCCAAACAAAACTATA